CAGCCTGTTTTTTTTTTTTTTTGGCGGGGGGCAGGGTTTCTATAAATTGCTTAGGGCCTCATTAAGTTGCTGAGGTTGGCTTTGAACTTGTGCTCCTCCTGCCTCAGACTCCTAAGCCACTGAGATTATAGGTATGTACCACCATGCCTAGCTGCTCCTGCCCTTTAGTAGCACCTTTAGGGTGGGCCTAGCTCAGCTGCAGCTATCCTTCATGAAAGCTAGTATCACTCTGACCCTGAGGAATCTCATGTGCTCTGCCTTATAATGCTCTCCTCTCATGTGACCAGCCTCCTTCTACTTTCTGCCTGCTTCATTGTGTGGTTCTTCTCAACTCTAGTCTGCAATTTTCTGGTTCCTCAACCCTCTTAGGACTCCTGGTCACCCCTCAGTCACAGTCCCTGTGCATCATGACTCCTGCATTTTGGAAACTTTCTCTGCCTGGGAAAGCTCCCTCCTTGCTTTGGTATGTCACAGCCTCACATTGCAGCCAAAAAACATGCAGTCTCACCCTCTCTAGCTATTCTCATGGCTACCTGTATCTCTAATTTGTGTTTCCCAACACCCAACTCCAGAAAATCTGGAGTTTCTATGCCAGGCCATGTGGTGGTAGCTGTTGGTCAATGGGCTGTGGATTGGCTGCCCTAGGGCATGGCTTCTGCTGTGATTGACAAGTTTCTTCTCCAAGGTTATCCTGGAATTTCTGGCTATCTTGTACTTTCAGCAAAGCATCACCTTTCCCTCTGCCTTGTAGGGCAGCTTGTTTATTGCCTATTCATGCACCTTCATTCAGAGAACAATTCAATCTCTCCCCTCTAGCAAGAGAACATGTAAAGACTCTACACTATACTTTTCTTGTCTAGGTTGCCATTGTGGGGCACATGGTGGGTCTGTTTTGCCTCTCTTTCAATGCATAGAGGTCAGGCTTGCTCAGCCATGCTTGACCATGCTCAAGGGCCCAAGAGTCCATACATGAAGATATATCAACAGAAGGGCTCACTCTAGAGTCTGGCAGGGGAGTTCTCTTGGACATTAGCCACATATAGCCACCCTATAATTCAGAATCCTAAAATGGGTAGATCAGGGACCCATTTTTCTACAGAACTCTTGTGGCACAGATCTTTTAGGGCACATGTTTGATTCAATTCCCAATCAACCACCACTACCACCACAGCAATACCACTTGACTGCGATTGATTAGTCACATTGGCATATCACTATTCTAAGCCTGGTTGATTGCTAACAACGAATGTGGATGCTACAGAGTAGCTATTATCTACCTGTCCAAAAGCAAGAAACCTACCAGTAAAAAGGATCTAAAAAAGAAAGCCCTCAGGCTCCAAGAGACAGCAGCTGCTATGATTCCCACTCATCAATGGAGATTAGAACATAGCCCTACATCAGAGGCACATGTCCCTGGGAAGAGCTGGAGCAGTACTTTTGGAAACTATTGGAACATTGTGCTAGATATGTGTGTCCTTATCCTGTTTCAGTTATCTCTTGCTGTGTACAAAATACCCCAAGGTTTAAATAGCTTCAAACAAAAGATCATTTATCATGACATTGGGATTGACATGATAGGCTGAAGTTGCTCATGTGACTGCTTTCAACTGAGAACTAAAACATTCTAAATCGGTTCTCTTCCTCCAGGGTATCTCTCCATGTAGCCTCTCACCATGCAGTCAGTAATCTAGTCTGCACTTCCTTACAGCTTGAAGATACACTAACTTCCTAGAAGGAAGAAGCAGCAACCACTGGAGTTGCTATGACTTGTGCTTAAAAGTCCCAAAATAGTACTTCTTTGGCATTCTCTTAGTCAAAGAAAGTAAAAGTCCCTGCCCAGATTCAATGGGAGGGAAATGGATTCTGTCTCCTTTGCTTACAGGGATGGGAGGAATTTTTTGTTTTGTGGTACCAGGATTGGAACTTAGGGCCTCACCCATGTTGGACAAGCACTCTAAGTTATATTCCCCAACTTTGAGATGGGAGGAATTGTTTGTGGCCATATTTAGAGACTAGCTACCACTCTTTCTCCCCTCCATGACTAGATGCATCTCAAGCATGGACACAGGTTGAGCCAATCAGACTGTCTCTTGAGAATCTAAACCTGAAGACAAACTGTGGTTGAAAGGTACTGAAGATGTTATGAATAGCCCTGGGCCATAAGATGATCCAGGGAACATTTTTCTTCATAAGGGAGGCAGAAGAAGAGCTATGAGAAGCCATGAGGCTACACAAGAGTCAAGGAAGAGTCACTCTGGCCTCCCCCACTTTGTTTCTGGGGTTTGGTTTCTAATTTAAATGATAATCAGAGATATTCTAAAAAAAACTATATTTGGGAATTGCAGAGCATCACAAGGGAAATATGTGTGCCATAGTAAACTTTGAGCATATTCGAGGAGAACGAGGCAAAGGAAAACTTTTAAGGTGAAATGAGACTCAAAATTGGTGGTACACACCAGTAATCCCAGCACTAGGGAGACTGAGTCAGAAGGCTCACTTGAGTCCAAGAGTTCAACACCAGCCTGGGAAACATAAGAAAACATATAATAATAATAAAGTCAAAATGAGAATTATATATGCCATTTTGAAACAGTATTTGACTACAAGGAACAATAACAAGGGAGACACTGGTCCAAGATTGAACAGACAGTTGCTGGGCAGACATCTTTGTAGAAGTAGTTTTGTGTAAGGTTGTGGTGGTCCTTGTGTGAAGTTGTGGTTCTGGCAGAGTCTTTTATGATAGTTCTTTTTTTTTAATATTTATTTTTTTAGTTATCGGCAGACACAACATATTTGTTGGTATGTGGTGCTGAGGATCGAACCCGGGCCGCACGCATGCCAAACGAGCGCGCTACGGCTTGAGCCACATCCCCAGCCCCTTTATGATAGTTCTTTTTTTTTTTTTTTTTAAAGAGAGTGTGAGAGAGAGAGGGGGACAGAGAAAGAATTTTAACATTTATTTATTTTTTCTTAGTTCTTGGCGGACACAACATCTTCGTTTTTGTAAGTGGTGCTGAGGATCGAACCCGGGCCGCACACATGCCAGGCGAGCGCGCTACCGCTTGAGCCATATCCCCAGCCCTATGACAGTTCTTATTATGAAGCCTGCATGAGATCCCCTCCTTCCTAGCCTCCTGGTTTTATTTACTTATTTTGGTTAGGGCATTACAAGTTACTTCATTTTGATTCTGACCGCTTTGACATAGCTTACTTAGAATCCTGTTTCTGCCTGTCAGAAAGATAGCCATTCTCTTGTCCTAAATGCAAGTGAAAAACCATTGGTGACTTTCAGCAGGAGACTGGCATAATCTGTTTTGTTTAGTACTGGGGATTGAACCCAGGGGTGCTTAATCACTGAACCACATTCCCCAGCCCTTTTTAATATTTTATTTAGAGAAAGGGTCTCATTAAGTTGCTGAGGGCCTTACTAAGTTGTTGAGGCTGGCCTTGAACTTGCAATCCTCCTGCTTCAGCCTCCTGAGCTGATGGGACATAATCTATTTTCTGCTTTAACATTTTTCCTTTGTAGATAATGCTGTGGCATGGAACCAGTGTAGTAGAAACAGCGAGATCTAATAGGAAGTGGTAGATGATACTTGTTAGAGGGGGAAATGGGCTTAGGTGGAGGTTTCAGGAGAGATGCCTTGAAATCTGTTTTGGAGTCAGGGACATCAACACTTATTTGATTAGACATAAGGAGTGAGGTAAAGAATCAAAGAAGAATTCAAAATTTCAGTCTTGAGCAATTGGTAAATGGAGATGCCAATTTGCTAAGACTCAGAAGCCTAGAGGAGGAGCAGCTTAAAGGAAGAGATCAGAATTCTGCTTTGTACATGTTAACTTTGATATGCCTGCTGACATGTCCAAAAGAACATTTTCATTGCCTCTCAGATTGTACTGTTGTCCCTCTACCTTGGATTGGAGGCTCCCTCAAGTACAGGGTTTGCCAAGTCCAGGGTAGACCTTCTTAAGCCATTTAGACATTCTAAATTCTAAAAATATCAAGGTGCCTTATTTGATATATAATTCAAAATAAACATAATATTAAACATTGAAAATCTTAATTGTTTTCAGGGAATATAATGTGTTTGCCTAGCATGGGCAAGGTGGTCCTGAGTTCAATCCCCAGCATCAAAGAAAATAAAATGACAAACACCCTAAAATCACATGCTGCTGTCTTTTTTTGGGGGGGGGTACTGGGGATTGAACCCAGGGTGCTTTACCACTGAGCCATATCCTCAGCCCTTTCTATTTTTTATTTTGAGATAGGGTTTCACTAAGTTGCTGAGGCTGTCTTTGAACTTGTGAAGGGGGAGGCCCCTTCAGCCTCCCTGAGTTGCCAGGATTGAAAGTATGCATCACTTTACCCAGCTGTTACTTTCATTCAGAAGGGCTTGCCAGCTATGCTTATAATCCCAGCGACCTGGGAGACTGTGGCAGGAGGATTCCCTACAGTCCAGCCTTGGGAATTTAGTAATTTAGCAAGACCCTGTCTAAATTAAAAAAAAGAAGACTGAGGATGTAGCCCTGGTAAAATGCCTCTGGGTTCAATCCCCAGTATTCCACCCGCCACAAAGGACTTTATTCTGTTTTTTTTTTCTGAATTCAAAATTCTGGATGAACTCATTAACTATTAAATATGAACTATTAACTATTAAATATGAACTTTAATTTCTGCTTTGCTAGTGCCCCAAGTGCATGGCTCAGTCAACTTCTTGGGTAATGTAGCCCAGAGCCAGTTCCTCTATGACCCCCAGCTTAGGGTTTGGAATGAAAATCAATGAAAGAAAGTTCCATGGATGAATACATAAAC